CGGGGGCGGAGCGGGGCCAGTGGACGCTCGGGAAGGCGGGCTGGGGAGTGGGGCAGTTATGTGGTCGCAGTGGACGGGCGTGAGCAGAGCCAGGACGATGGGCAGGTCAAGGTGCCTGGCGACAGGCAATCCATTGTAGGGACCTCCCTCCTCCCCCCGTGACCCCTGACCTTTCCTCCCCAGAGGTAAAACCAGCAAAGTGTCCCCACGGCTGACTGGGCCCAGCTGCACTGGGTAATGACCCCCCTGGCACTGACCAATCATGGAGACCATGACCCTGAAAGGACACACCTGGAAAGCTGCTGACTGTTCTACTGAGATCTTCCCTGGGACCTCCCCTGAGGTCTCCACCCTAAAGCCCTTAAGACGGAGGACCCAGCGCCTCCCTCCAGGGAAGGGGACCCTGCCGCTTCCTCTCCCTCCCTTCCTGTCCCCCATCATCTCCCTCATTCCAAGCTCCAAGGGCCCTTCTTTTACCTCTACAGCTTGTTTCTGAGCCCATTTCTTTTAGGAATTGCTTCTACCTGTGATTTTCCAAATAAATGTTTTCCTACAGTTGGAGTCTTAGCTCTGAATTCTCTCCTAGCCAGAACCCAAGTACCGAGGTTGCTGAGCCCAGGTTCGGTCTGACCCTGCCTGTCAGACACCTGGAACTGTCCCACCACCTATAACACTATTGTCCTGGACTGTGGGGCCAAGGAGCGTTGTGTCCAGCCTGATGCTTGAATGTGAACAAAAAGGGGGGACCTGGTAGACCACCTAGCTCGGGGCCCCTGCACGAGGGCTGGTCACGCAGTCCTGGGCAGGCATTGCTTCCTCAGCGGAGGGCAGCCTGCCTTGACGGAACCCTGGCCCTGGTTCTCCGGCATCGAGGGTGACATACTGCTAAAATGTCAGACCTTTCCAGACCCTCCCAGGCAGGCCGCTGCGGCAGACCACGCCAGCACAAAGCCCGCATTACTGCCCGCACACCATCTCTTCACCACGTCAAATGTTAGCTACGCTGTGCCAGCCACGGAGAAGGAGTGTGAGAGATGGTGGGGGCTCTGAGGAGGCGCCCAGGTCATCCAGAGGCCCAGGAGCCAAGGAACGCTGTCCCCAGCGGGATTCAGAGCCAACTGGCCCAGGAGCCGGGCCTCCTTGTTCCTGGTGAACTCAGGAGCCCACCCCTTAGCGCTTCTTAAGACAGGGAGGGTGGAAGCTAATGTTTTTGAACC